CGTGGTGATGGGGCCATCCTCATCGACGAAATTGGCATGCAAAGCCACGAGCACCTCGGCGCCATCAGCCACTCCTGTACAGCCAATGTGCCGCCTCCACCACACCTTGGACCCGCCCATCCCAGCAGCCGTGTCTTGTCCGGTCGCGTTGCTGGCGGAATCGGCGACCTGCTGCAGCATCCTCAGCCAGGCGGGTCGCCGCCATACCGCTACGCCGCCAACGTCGAACAAAACCCCCAGTTCAGTCCCTCGGCACCGTCAGCACAGTGCTGGCCGGCCTCGGTTGACGAACGTGGAGGTGACCATGCTGACGGCAGCAACAATGACGGCAGTGATGCCGATGACGACACCGGCAACCGTCGCGCCACCACCTCCACACGTCGCACTCGTCGCCCCGTGCCACAAACGCACACCCGCCTACACGACGGCTTCAACCTGTACCGTCAGCTCGGCGGCACCGTATTCATGCTGCAGAAACACCAGCGGCAAGACAACAGCCCATCTGGCCAGCAGCTTACCCGCTTCACAACCATGTTCGGCGGCATTCAACCCACTGAAGCACGTGTTGCAGATCTAGTAGACGCACTCAACCAACGCGTCATCACAGATTTGTCCGATCTCACAGACCTCGAACCCCGTGTCGTGCTGCAACGGAACGAACCCAGGCACGCGCTCAACACACGCCTCCTGATGCTCCAGGCGCGCCGCAAAGGAGCGCGTTTGGTCAGCTGGAATGCGGACCACGTCCCGGTTAGGCAACATGGCGCAACCCAACAACAGCCGCTCTCCCATGTCGAAAAGGCTGTCGCAATGCGAGTAAAAGACGCCACCTTCGACCACACCACCGCCGACACTTGGTACTACGAGGGTGCACGCTACACCCTACTCGACACCACTGCTGCCGATGCTGGCGCGTGCCACAACAATGAAGTCGAGGCATGTGGCCTGCTTACCGACAGCCGTGAACCGCCCGACGACGGCCGCGGCCCGTACTGGCGCCTCCACTACCTACCTGCAGCCGTCTTGGTCCGTCCCATTAAAGGGCACGCGCCCAAAGCGGTGCTAGCAGACTTAGCGGACTTCGCAGCCAAAGGTGCTGCCTTCGCCATCGTACCACGGCCCTCGCCGGCAGCAAACATCACCGTGCCAGCTGCCAACACCGGCACCGCCACCAAAAATGTACGTCGAGTCAATGTACCGCTTGGTGACTACTACGCCGTCACCGACTACTTCGTACAGGGCCGTAGCTTCAAGGAAGAATGCTGGGTCACGGACCTTTCCGTCCCGCCCGGTGGCCTCAAGCGTGCAACCATGTACGTGTTGCTCACCCGCTACAAAACACTCGACCACATCCGCCTCCTGCGCCCGCTCTCTACCACACCCGACGAACGAGCACGAGTCGTCAAACAGTTCATGGCAGCAACCAAGCTGGACCCCGACCTGGCGGCCGAACTCCGCCTCCTGGATCGCCGTGCAACCGAAACCCGTGAACGCTATACCACCGAGTACAAACACGCCAGAAACCTTGAGGAGCGTTGGACCTCCGCAGCCAACACCACCTGACACGTCCAACACTTCGTCTGTCTGCCTCGCCACTGGATGGCGTTAAATGCCAGCGTTGCACGGCTCTCTAGCCGTCCGACGACACGCCTGCACGGCTGGGTGCATCCCTTGCACTTGTGGGTTCGACTCCCACACGGGTGTAGTACTACACGCACGGACCGTCGTACTCGTGCCGCCCAGCCGGGGGACTACGGCCCCCTCGCGGGCGAAGCAGCCCGCGTCTAGTTGAACTAAGGAACCATGCATGTTGGATATGGTGCACACATGCGCACACACCAAGTGCCAGTGCTTGAGTGGTAGATGTGGGTTCGAATCCCACCGATGGTCCCCTGAATGTAATAGGACGGGGTGTAGTGGGCCAGATTAAGCGGTCAGGTGGCAGCCTTGGAGGAGCTGCTCTGGAGCCAAGACCTGGCTTTAAATAAGAGGCTAATATGCCTGGCGGAAACTAACAGCACCATAAGGAGTGTTGGATTGGAGGCATGGGGAGTTAGCTAGCCCCTGGGCCACTGAGTTATCAGATGGTTAAAAGTATTTCAGGATGGAAGCGCTCCTGCATTGATTAGGGTAAATGGGTGCTGGTGTGTGCACCTTGTGGTAGATATTCTGTGCGGCTGTACTCAAGTAGAGCATGCATCTGGTGGCATGGGGGCTGTTGGCACCTGGGCTAGCTGAGCTGGCAAATGGACTTTCAGGTGAACACAGTTCTGTGATGATTAAGGTTGGTGGTGAGCATCAGCATGGGCTGGTGCAGTGTATGGACAAGGTGGTACACCCCTCCTCAAATGAGGAGTGCTTCAGTGGTCGTTCCCGTTGGGGTACGGTTAGGTGCCCCTGGCCAGTGTCAGGCCCGGATCGATATGTAACAACCAACATGTGTGCATGGCAGCTATGCAGAAGTCATCAAATGATGCTTGCCGAGTGGTGTACCTACCTGTTGTGAGCAGATGCAAGAGAGCAACTCTTCCCGTGAGACTGCCATGGGTGTTGCCCGAGACCTTATTACAGCATGCCACACCTTCTTGTGAATTGCGTGGTCATCCTCGCAGCCACCAGCAAAAGACTGCTGCCAAAACGACCACACACAGCCGCAGATGCAATAGCTAACTACAGCCTGGGCAGTCAGAAATCGAACACATCCCAACACTAGGGTTTTCCGGTACTATGCTTCCTGTTCTGCAACATCAAACCCTAAATCCTCAAACGTTACCAGCATATGCTTCCGCTAACGGCTGTGCAGCCTCGGCAGGCAGTGAGAGCCCGCCGCTTCTGCTCATGCTTCTTATGACCGCCTCCTGCCTTGCGAAGGTGCTTGTGTCACATCGACTTCTTGTTGGCCGCCTCCCACACCTCCTTGTACGCGCTGCTGACGAGCTGGGCACCGCGGGCGTGGTGCAGTCCGTGACGCCGTCGCCCAGGAGCCGGTCGGCAAGCGTACCTGCAGAGATGTTTCCCTGCTTGGTGCTGCTCATCGTGACGGCCCCGGAGCGGTGGCGCCATCGGAGGAGGAAGGCATGACGGCCTTAGGTGTTTGGCAACACCGCAAAGCATTAT